AATCACTACTACTATTACACTCACTTACAACTACAACTACTACTACTACTTAACAACTACTAACTACATACTTACCTTAACTACTACTAACAACTACTTACACTTTACTACTACTACTACTACTACTAACTCACTACTTACTGACTTACTAACTGTACTCACACTACCGCTACTTTACAAACTACGTAACTACTGACAACTAACTGCTACTTACACTTACAAACAAACTTACTACTACTTTACTTTACAACCTATTACTCACTACTGCTTACTGCTACTTGGCGTGCTACTGCTTACTGCTACTGCTGGCTAACTATCTACTACTGCACTTTGTAAAACTGAAAGGGGAACCTTTGAAAATTAGGTATTGGAAGATTCATATTGTTTGTTGGGAAAGACCGAAACTATAATACTTATTTAAAAAAACCCCTTAAGGGGCTTTTTGGGCCTTAATCATCCAGTAATTTAGGCGAGTTTTCCATTTTCAAGAAACAAAAACTTCGATTATCCTCTTTATTTTCGCCTTTTTTTCTTCTAAAGATTTCAAAATAAAAAAAAAATCCCGTGGGTTCAAGTTTATTTTTCCCTTTGAAAAATTTCTCCTCTCCCTGCTACTGCTACTGCTACTGCTGCTACTTCTACTACTGCTACTTTTGTAACTGAAGACCTTTGAATTAGTGGAAGATTCATATTGGTTTGTTGAAACCGAACTATAATACTTATTAAACTCCTTAGCTTTTGCCTAATCATCAGTAATTAGCGAGTTTCCATTTTCAAGAACAACTTCGATATCCTCTTTATTTCGCTTCCTTCTAAGATCAAATAAAATCCTGTCCAGTTATTTCCCTTGATATGCAATGGAGCTAATAGAATTTTATTGCGATCAAGAACTCGTGGATTATTTTCTTGTTGCCAACCTTTAAATGTTTCCCTTCTTTTATTATCCAGTGTTCTTTCTTTGCATGGCTGTTCCAAAAATACATGTAACACGGATATTTCGTGTACACTCCTTGTTGACCTAGGACCTAGTATATTACCTTTAGGTCACCACAAACAGTCCAACCGTGATCAGTGTATTTTATTTTATGGAGAAGTGTTATCATTGTTTCATAAGTTTCCTTCATTTTCTCTTGAGTGACCATTAGGAATAGATTCTAATTTGTTGTCATTATTCAACAACACACACTTCAAACTTCTCTTTGAGCTGCCAATGAACCACCCATTCTTCTGCAAGGTACTCGCATCCCATAGCTTCAATCAGACCTTTGACATCAATGCAATATACAAGTTGTTCATCCATCTCAATTTTACCATGTTCTTCTCTCTGTGTTGATATATGATAGTAGTTCCGGGAGCTAACATATTCCTCTCCTTTAGCCTGACACCCAGTATAATGCTTTTGGAAGATCGAGATCACAAACAAGGACATTGAATTCATCTTGAGTGAACGGCTTGCACAGAATGTGTTCATCAGAAACCTCGAAGTTGTCGTCACTATCTCTGGTTTTAATAGGATGCTGGATTCGTCATTGGAATTGGAACTTGAACTGAGAGTTGAAAATGATATTCCTATCCCTATTTTCCAAACATTGCACCCAGCATTTATTAGTCTCCGAATTTAACCCAAAAATACACATAATAAGTTTTGAATACAAAGTCACAATATATTTGTTCTTTGTTTTGGAATTATAAGTTTGCTACGTGTAGCAAATATCTCTGAATCATTTTTACACTTTCTATGAATTATAGCCATTTTTCGTCTCAATCCATAGCAAATAAAAATACATTAAGTTGATATTTTTAAAACAATACAGAAACATTTATAAAATTTCTATTTCCTGAAACAAACCTAATGCGATTGTGCAAAATGATGTTGAATTATCTATCGAAAGCAACTTTAATTAATACCGACACCTGCAACAAATGAAAACAATCAAATTGTCATTCGTGAAAATAACTGTAGTGATGGTAAAAACAGATATGATTTCTGGATTCAGAACCTTCAAATCAACAAAGATCAGATGTTAGCTTAAAGTCAGCAAAAATGATGTAGACCAGTGTTATTAATATTTTGTATTGTTAAATTTTTTAGATCGTCACTCTTGAAGCTAGAAAGAGATCTTTTGTACTGTCTTGTGAGAATGCGGCTTCAAAAAATGAAAGCACTGACATGTATAAAAAAAGGATTCAAGAAACAGAAAAAAGGATTGCTGATTTAAGATTGTCAAAGGTTTGGAGACATATTTTTCACTTGCGATTTTTCAATTATTTTTACATTCACTCCTTAACTTAATGAATGTTATATTCTTGTGGTTCAGAAACATGTTCCTGGGCCCAAGATCTCTGAAATTGAGAGGGAAGCGAAGAAAAAAGTTCTGTTTCATGCTGACATTGTTGTCACAACTTTGACCTCTTCGTACAGTCCACAAATTACTGAAGTATTTGCATCAAGGTAAGAAAAAATATATGTATGTATAAAATATATGTATGTATATACCTGGGTTTTCCCCTATATATATCGCCCAGGAATTCTTTTTATTTACTGAAAAAATTATTTTCAAAATAATGATTAAACAATTTTAAAAATTGTGAAAATTGTAAGTAATAATACTGGATTTAGAAAAAAAATAAATAAATAAAGTAGAGGAATCAACAGAATAGTGCGCAAAAAATAGGTGAAAATGCTTCATTGTAAAACTACTTTTAAAAGTTTCTCAAATAATCATAATAGTTGTATGTCATTTACTCTTAAAATTTAAATTTTGCTGCTAATATATGAATGAACACGGGATGTTAAGGCAATATACCTAAAAAAGCTATTTAAAAAACTAAAAATAAGCAGGGAAACAGCAATAACAACTGAAAATTCAAGAGGGAAATGGGTCTGGTGAATTTCATTGCAGTTGTATCGAATATTTGTATTTAAAACTATAAAACTTAAAGGAATTGTAACTTTGTTGGGCAAGTTATAGGTAGAAAATTACATATTATTATCATTTATAAGCTGAAAATAATGACAAAAATCAACATGCTAATTTTTTTTGAATTTCCATAACAGCCATTACTTTGTAACTTAGCACTTTGTCAAGATTGGTATTAGAGTTCATTAAGCTGAAACTAAAAAATAATATTTTGTTGAAACAATCAAAGGGATCAAGACACTGATTGAATATTGCTTTGCTACTGGGTTGCACACATTAACACTTCTTGATCTAGAGTGAATGTTGCTGGTCACTCTTCAACTGTTGCAACGTTCTTAGCCCTAGAAGTAAAACACAGTGCTCTTGCTTCTCCTTGGGTAGACTTTTGTAAGAAAGTTCAGTTCTTCAATTAGCATATATTCTAGTACAGTCATTAGAACCTTGTTAATAGCTACACAGACACAGACACCACCATGCCTGATGTCTGTAAGCTTCATACATATGTTAGAGAGAAAGTTATGTAATGATGTGCAGAAAAACTGCGAATTTTTCGTCTGAAAGAATTATTACAGAACCCTAGTGACGAAAAAGTGGATAAATCCAGTTGCTAAATTTAGGGGGAAAATCCTCTAACATTTAGTGTAGACAGAATCCATGTTTAGTGGGTTCTGTCTACACTAAACTACACTTCTTACCAAAAAATCGAATGACGGCAAAATGTCGGTCTGTTCATCTTAAACGTGGCTAAACCGTTCAGCCAATTTTCTCCGAAATTGATATTCCCAAATCGATCTGACTGACGTCGTGAACCCTCGAGTTTGCAATTTGTATTTTACTTTTAGGGATTACTTTACATGGAGCTCCTGGGACATTTTCAAATTTTTTTTAAAAATATGAATATAAATATATTTAAAAGTGTGAAGGATGTTTAAGAGAATGGTGCATGTCTCATGTTCGTTAAAAACCCTGATTTATCGAAAATTGCAAAAGTTCAAAGATTTTTCAGTGTCTTCCTACAACAAAAATATTAAAATTTGAGTCTTTTTACTTAATAAAATCTGTTTCTTAAAGATAAGGTTTTGAAAAATTGTACATGATCTTATTTCAAAACCAAAGTACTTTTTGCATAATTTTGTGTCAAAATATGGCCAAGAACTTACATGATGTTGTAGTGCCACTAGTTTGCTATCATTACTTTGGAACCTTACCTAATGGTTACTGCTTTGATAAAAAAAGAACTGCTATGCTGGGTTGCACATAATGGTATGTTTAACAATTGGAACATACATCACAGGACAGTGGGGAGATGTATTTTTATGTGGTCATCGCTAGATTTACCCAGTATAGGACTAGATTTCTGAAGCAATGTGAGGGGAGGTTGCAATAGTACAGGATTTTCTGTTTTGCTGTGAGGAAGTGCTCAAAACTACTGATATTATTCTGATATTTTTTTCATTTTTTAAAATAAATTTTGTAGATTCCCATTACGTATTACTGAAATGATTTAGAAATCTTGGTATTACAACAAAACTGAAATTCTTTCAGTCCAATAAATGTGAAAACAAATAACAATTTTAAAATTTGTTTGGTATTTGATAATCATTACTTACGATTATTGCTTGTTCTGCAAGAACATCCACTCATTCTGCGTTCCCAGTGCTCACTTGCTGAAGCTGGAGTTACACTATTTGTCTTGCTGTAACACATCAGGTAGTCACTGCTGGGAACTGTCTCCGAAGCTTTGGAGCCATTCGTGGCAGGTCTGTCAGGCTTTATAAACTGAATACTGTTGAATTTTCAAATACAGACGATGCAGAAAAGAATCCAGGAATGCTACACAAAGCTACTTATCAGTACAGTGGTCGTGTGAACAATCTGGATATGCACATAAATTGATATTCTAAATGATTTAAATTCATAAAAATGTATATAATTTATTATAATAATGCACGACATCAAACTATTATGTTATTCTGAATTAATATTCATGAACTTATAAGGTAAATATGGGCAAGATAAATATAAAGAGTGCAAACTCTATTAATACAAGGGACAAGCTGCACATTCGCTCGTCTTGTGTTCATCTTTTATAATTAAGTATAATTTTAAAGGAAAAATAACTTTTTATGGATGCTGTTGAAGCTGGTATCATGCATATTAATTTTGCTACATAGAAAATTTCCTTACATATGCAGTCAAAATTTTGAATATATTCTCCGTAGCCGGCTCATTAACACTGGTCTTCACTATACATATTTTGTTGTTAAAAGACCTAACGAAGATGAAGAAAAATAGACCTAAAGTGTAATTCTTTGAATTAGCAAAGCCGTCCTTACCTTACCTTCCTAGAAGAACATTGGCACAATACAATATCAGTGCCAGAGGTTGGGGTTATTGAGTTGCCCCCTGAGATGTGAATGTTTTGGTTGCAGCGTGAATCTTGACCCAGTGCTCATCCAAGACTCACCGTTGGAAGACTTTTTAGTTGTACAAAGAAGTGCAATCTGAAACCATAAAGTGAGCTTCCAAAGATAAAAAATGTGACATGCAAGCCCAAATGGCATCTACAGACTAACAAGAAAATGGAGGTTCGTTACCGGTAGAGAGTTATTGTGATTTGTAAAACTGGAAATGATTTAAACATTGTTCATTAACTAAGGGTAGAAGAAGACATTATTAAATTTTAAGGAAAAAGCTTTTAAAAAGATGAATAGGCAGTAAACGGTGAGGAAACTATATTTTTTTTGAAGCTTGCACTTTAAATGGTACAATTGATTGCTTCAATTAATTGAATAACCTCAGGTTGAGATTAAGGGAGCCAAGCAGAGGTGCTTAGGAAGAGCTAGTGATGCTCCAATATCTCATACTTTTTCATAATATCGGTGACTGTTTTGTATATTTATTTATTTATTCATCTTTTTTGTATAACAATAAATATTATATTATTTGCGACCCACTTATAACCATACAAAACTATATGAAATTCAAAGAAAGTAACTCATCATTTTTATATAAGAAAAATAATTAATAAAATAACAAACAGTGGCCAGAATAGAAGAAAGTAACGCTGTCATATCTATCAGATATTTGTCAACATAATTTGATGAAGACCGAGTAAATGCATTAATTAAATCATTGTCAAGTTCAATAAGCTAGAATATCAATAGGTTCATATATTAAGAGTGGTAGAATCAGAGTTTTTTCAAATTGTAATGTAATACATATAAAAAGCCTTTCTACTAACATATATCTAGGATTAGTTTTTGCTAGTTGTTTATTCATTTGTAAAGGAGGTCAAATGGCGCATCTCGTAGAGCAAAAGTAATCTGCATATTCTTTGGATTTTGGGAAAGTGTAACATTAAAATCATTTTGATGTAGAACTTCTTAATGGATATAATATTGTTTTCTGTGAATAAATCGTTAGTCAAATACAAAATGTCTTTTTAAATAATATTTTCAAGATTTTTGTTTTTGTATATCAAATTAGTATGAGGGTGCTAAATTATTATCTGTCAATTTCTGTCTTGCTTTCTGTTCATCTACCTTTGAAAAAGTCACAAATGAAGTGTGAAAAATAATTGTGCAAATAACGCCTTCATTGATATGTGGGGTTTGGGATGATTAACAGTATGTGATGTGGACTTCGTGGTTAAGTCACAAATGGTATTTACCAGTTTTTGCCGACAGTGAAATTCATACTGACTATGTGATGTTCCAGGGCCTTTTTTCCAGATTTGCGCATAGATTATTAGTTTTGATCGGTGGAACAGTGAACACTAATGTTTCATGAACATGATAGAAAGAAGAATGTTTCTTACTCTTTGGCAATAAATTGGTATCCAATATTTTCAGTATTAGCATGGTAATGCCCCTACTCCCAAAGCAAGAACAACTAATGGGTCTTGGTGCTACACTGTTATCAAAAAGAACAGTGTAGCATTCTTCATGAAAGACAATTTGGGGTATTTTTTGTAACGGGAGCTCCTGGACACTGTATTGAGACTAGATGCTGTTTACAACCACGTGTAACTTTTTGACATAAACAGCTTTTAGCTCGCTCAAGGATTTTTTGTTTGGTTCAGTGTGCTGACGAGGGATTGGAGTTCTTGAGCAATTGTGGATGAGACTTGCTGTATTACTTTAAGAATTGAAAAAAAAATCGTTCACTGTAAAACTGCGTGGATGCTGGTAGTTTTCACATGCCCTATTTGATGACAACTTGTGGAGAGCAAAGATTTGAACTATCAGTCCTGGAGGATGAATGCTTGTTGGCTTAGCCTGATGTCCAATCACTGCTTATTAGAGCAATTTCACTCTTTTAACTCACTCCCATGAAGCCGTGAAGGTTGCCTCTTTCACGATAGCTGTGGTGAAAGATTTAATTGGTTAAGAAAGTTTTTCCTTCTGTATGATCAAGCAAACTAATGCAACTAACTCGGCGAATCTGACTACCTCCCACCGAAAACACACCCTTAGCCTGAATCCCTAGTGGCAAAGATCAATATTCTAGCGATTATCTTCGTAAGCCACTCACAGTAGAAATCTCAAAATTCTGATGGGAAAGGAACATTCATCGCACTTTGTCAGTGCACCAGTTGTGTAAGTACTTCCATTCAAACTAATGCTTTACTAACTAGACCTGCAACTCAGGAAACACTGTTTAGTTGCTCTGTATGAACGAGCCCTAAAAGCAGCAACAATGAGTGTTATTTATAGCTGCTATAGTTGATCTGGTGAAATCACGCTCTCCAGTTCACACTAAACCTACAACTCTATGCAAACCAAGGCTTAAATGCAACATTCTTTAGCTGACCAAAAAAAAAAAAAACCAACCAACCTACAAGAAGAGAGAAGAGAAAGAACAAAATCCAAACTAAGCAGCAGATACCTTACATGGATAATAAGAGAACTGGGAAATTAGATAACTGACAAAAATCTGATCTTTAACTATGAACACAATATTGCTCAAACTAAAGGCAACAAGTACATCAGGAGGTAGTTAGCTTCAAAGACTCATTTAACAATTTTTGTGTATTGATTTTGTCGGTTACATTGCTATGATCTAAAATCGCAATTCTCTTAGCCAATCTAGGAAAATGGTTGATTGCATATAAGTTTTGTGTCTCCACAATACCGAGAAACTTCATTCGTTTCTGGAATTTGATGTTTATGGAATATTTCTCTCGCCTTCCTCACAAGTGGGTATTTTACCCACTCAGAATTTTTTTGTGGGTATAGCTACCATTATCTGCCAGGCCTGCCTGCTTTTGCCATTTCACGTTCACTGGATTTCTTGGGTGTCATAGACCTGCAACCATCCAACTATATTGAGGCTGCGAGACTAAATGAGCACACGAACAACCTTTAATGTGGTTTCGTTGGCATAGTGTACTTTGCAATTCAATGAGTAGTTCTCACAGGTAGAGAAATGGAATGAGTAAACTTCTGAACAAAACAGCAAAGGGCAAAGATACCTATTGGGAATTCGTTTTAAATTTTGCAAGCATTTGTCTGAAAATTCACGTTTCAACAGAAAACATACATGTATTTATTATGTACCTGCATTGTTCGGCGCCCAAAAATTTCAGGAATTCGAATCCAAATATCAACTTTCTTTTTTTAACTTTTATATTATGTTTTGGCATAGGCCTACATTTGGTTGATGATCTGGATAGGACAAAATTAGACTTATTTATTCTAATGCATATTAAACTTGATCATTAAAATTAGTTTATATATAAATTAAGCATTTTGTAATGTTTTATGTATAAATTGAGTTTTTATATACCACACAATTCATGTCTAATTTTGGTATTCCCTGATGATTTTAAATACTATATTCGAATTAAAAAACCTCGTTTTGATACAATTACAGGAATATCTAACATTATCTATAAATAAAGTATTTTAGCCACTTTTCTTCTTTATTTGCAGAAATGGCAGAAATAATATACGTTTTGCATGCTGTATCATTGATGAAGCAACACAATGCACAGAGCCTGAGAGTTTAATTCCTCTAATGTTGGGCATTGAAAGACTGGTATTAGTTGGAGATCCTGAACAATTACCAGCAACTGTTCTTTCACAGGTATGTGAAAAGGAATTCCTTTTCTGAATCTTCATTGTGAGTAGGCTAAGATGAAAATAGCAAATAAGCTTAAAAAACATGAAAGAAAATTTTAGGTGAAGAAATAAATTCAATTCAATTCAGTTATGCCTTATTTTATATGGCAAGAAATACACTGACAGATTATCATAACAACTGTAGGAATGTAGTTTAAAAAGTTCATTGGGAAAGCTTTAAGGTCACTAATGCACAGAATTTAAAGGGTAATCATATTTATAAAATTGTGTGTTTAACTGATTTAAAAGTAATGAACAAATTCATGTGGTGAAGAGAAATACTATATTTCAAATCCTTTATTCATGTATCCAAAAAACTAAATGTTCCACTAGTTCATTACACCAAAGGATTATGATTTTTCTCACTCTCAAATAAATGAATTAATTTCTCGTGATATATCAAAGAAAGTTTATCCAATATCGAATACTTGTAATTTCAAGAAAATGAAATAATATCCTGTTCTCCACTTCCATAATCTTGTTGGTGTAAAAAATGCTTGTTACAGGTGGCAAAAACAAAATCTTTTGGTCAATCTCTTTTCAACCGAATCTGGAATAAATTTCAGAATGAAGCAAATAATCCTATCATTTTTCTGAATACTCAATATAGGATGCACCCTGAAATTTATCATTGGCCAAATACCTATATATATCATGGCAGGGTGATGACGGATCCTAGTTGTCAAGTTGTGTGTCCTCTGAAACCATATTGTTTATTTGCTCATAGATTTCAGCAGAACAGGTGAGTTTTAAGTTTTGTGTTCTCTCTTGCTCTGACTCTTTTCATTAAAAGGTTATTAATAAAAACGATAGTGTCTTCCTGAGGTAACATAAATGGTTGGTACTTACTTTCTTGAAAAGTGTGTAAGTAGTGTCCTAGTTTCTAAAGCATTTCTTAAGTGATCACAGGTAAATAACAGAATCAAGGTAGAGACTTACGTGACCATGAGTCTTACTCTTATTTGTCTCCTTGGAGAAATTCTCAGTTAAATATACTTGTGACCATCACAAGCAATATTGAGATGGAAATTTCAAAACAATGAAATTCAATATAAGTATTCAGGGCAAGAGTTCAATAACTGAATACACCTTTACCTGGGTGGCTTTTGAAATAATGTTGTGTAGAAACATGTCTTATGGTGTGGTTGTAATAAATAATGCCTTAGCTACTATAATTGCCCCTTCAGATTCTACAGGCACATAAATATCAATAACTACTGTTTTAAACCGTTTTTGAATCTTTCATAGCACGTAACAAGTTTGGTAATTAGTGTTTAAAAGGAGGATGACAATCCTGCAGAGCCATGTAGATGTGAGCAAGCTTAGGTTGTTGTAAAATGTACTATTTGAGCTTCTCTGTGAAGGGATGTTCAGCAAAAGATAAACTGTTACCCACCTTGTCAGTGTTCTCTGAACTGATATTAAGGCAAACTGGGAATTGGCTCCATACTGTGTCAGTAATTTTGGAGATATCTAGCTTAATGAAGGCTGGATTCTTGTAAGCAGTGTAGTGCTTAACCGTAAGTTGGTGTGGTGGTCTTCTGCATCAACACAAAACCTCAATACGACATGAAAGGCCTTCATCTGAATATGAAAATCTTCAGCCATGTTTCCCTCCCAATCTCAAAAGACTTGCAGCTAAAGTTGTCAATATTGGGATGTTGATGGAAAGAAGTACAACATAAATTCGATTTTTACTTAGAGGCTCTGACTTGGCCTGGTGCAGACTTTCCTGGCATGTTGTATGTGGAATTTAAAGATAAAATCTGCAATTGTAGGTTTCTTTGTGTGATGGAAATAAAATCGGGACATAAAATGACTAGTAGTCTTTAAAATAATTTCTGGGTATTGCAGTTTCGTTGGCAATGCGTACATACTATATTGATGTTAAGGTAATTTCTTTGCCATTATTTCACATCTTCATATAACATGCTTCAATTTTTCATTGTATCACTTCCTATTTTGACCAGCAGTAAAATTCAAAACGAATATGTAATAACTCTCTTAAATCAAAAAGCAAAGTATCAAGATATGAATGTGTCAAGTATCAAAGTATTACACCAACTCTTCACAATTTTGTATGTTTTGAAATAATTTTTAAAGGGATGTAAAATATACACATCACTGCCTTTTGTGTGGCAATTGGTATCTGAGTAATTATATTCCAGATGGACCCTTGCTAACATTCCACACTTTAAAAATTAATGACTATACAGTGACAATAGCTTCATAGACTGGACTGATTTCAAATAATGTATCTCTAAACTGTGATTTTATATGACTAATTATGTGCATGGGTTAACATTACAATATTGCCAAGTATTTTTAACGAGCAGAAACGCTTAGTGTCGAGGCAGGGTTGCACAAAATATCCAATTGTCAATTTGTGTCTCAGAGATTTTGAGAATTCTGGCTCATCTGTTCACCGTTGGTTTTAAAAGGAAGGATCCAGAATAGCTAAACCTCCTGAAATGTATTAAAAGGTTCTTGGTACAATGTTAGCTTCTGTTATGGATTTTATTTGTACTTATTAATTTCTCTGAAACTTTTGTCTCTGTGTATTAGATACATGAAGAGTAATTTCCTAAACAGGAGTAGCACATTATGTACAGGTTACAGGGTTTTATGTTATAGTGTATTTTCGATCATACAAATCCAGTATCTTTCTGCAGCATTTTTTGAATAGAAAGAATATTAATGTAGCATGACAACTAAGTGTGTGATGAAAACAAAAAAATATTTTAATTAGTTGAAAGGTATAAGAGAAAAAGAAAAAAAATATTGATTTTTGCATTTATTAAAAATTTTAGGGTTGTTCTCCCCCAAAAATACCATAGAAAACTTAATTAGTGAATTGATTAATCCTATTGTGAGAATTTTTTTTTCCTTTCAGTCATAATTTTGTAAATAGTAATGAAGCAAGATTAGTATTGGAGATTGCAATGGGTGTAGCACATTCATTTCACGAACATGTGAAGACAATTGGAATCATAACTCCTTATCAGCAGCAGCTGCAAGAAATTAAGACTTGTTTAGACAGAAGGTAAAGCAAATTATATCTTATGGTTTCATTTCACAGTTACAATTCTTTAATCAGTAAAATTTCAATTCTTGAATATTACTACTACTTACCACTACTACCTACTACTATTACTTACTACTGCTACCTACTACTATTAATAAGAGATTTTCAGCAGCAAAAATGCTGCTGAGCAAAACCACTCAATTATGTTTTTGAAAACTCACTTCAATGTAATCAAGGCAAGGTTGTGTGAAATTATTCTTGTTTTTCTGTATTATGCTACAATTACTGTAACAGTTAAATTTATTCTAGTTGTTTTATTTATAAAAGTAAGAAGTGACTATTGTTCCTGACAATAAAAATAATGTAGATATGCACAAGAGGCACTTTTTCAATTTTTTGATATGAACTTTTTCAACTTATAGCTCAGGTGCTAATAGAACAGAAATTGCAATATTTCAATATTACATTACTATTCCAATAATGCGTGAAAGTATATACGGTCGTAGCACCTAGATTTTTGTTGTTTTTTATAAATTTGTGCATTTATTAGTAGAAGTGCTTCAAATTATTTATTAAGAAGTTTCTCAAAAACTGAAAATTTATTTTGTGAAAATTAGCTCAAAATTGTGCATTTTTAAAAAAATTCTTGAATTATATTTTCTCAAAAATTGCTCCAAATTTTTCCTCGAAACATTTGGAACAGAGTGCTAAATGCACTGAATTGCTCGACATATACACTATGATGCTTTCTCTTGATTTTTCAAAAATCACACAAATGAACTTTTTTTTAAAAAGTGTATCTCATGTCATTAATATTTACCTTAAATAAAATATTTACCTTACCTTAATTATGCATAATTCCATTTGAAAGCACAAGTGCTTCCTGGTTGCCTTACGAAGTTTCTCAAACACTCAAATGATCTCAAAATTGCACATTTTTAGAAATGCTCAAACAATATTTTCTCAACACTGGCTCCAAATTTTGGAATGAAAATTTGCATTTATATCCATATTTAATTTTCTATTCTTAAAGTCCTATTTCAAATGTACTATTAGGGGGTTGAAAAATTGAAAAAACTACTTTTATGTGCTAAATAGCAGCTGGGAAGAGGGTGCGGTAATACCGAAAAGCTAGCCTAGACTAAAGATATTAGAATTGACTAGGGTAGCAAAGTGCAGGTCATTCTGTAAACCAATAGTTTGGAATTGCAGTGAGAATGTGTCCTAAAAAATAGTTTTGGTGATACAGTGGAACTAAATCTATGTTTATACTACTTTCAATTTTTGAATTTTTAATTCCCTTGTTTCACTTTTACATTTTACTTATGTTTTTAAACTTTTCTAGTAACTATATTTAGTTTCCTCTATAGTATTTTCATATTGTAAGGTTTATGTTAACACCTTTAGGTGTGCAACAAATGTGATTTCACATGGAATAAACTGTTTTACTACATTCTTCCAGTAAAACATTCACTAATTGAAATTAAATTTAAATATTTAAAAATATTATGTAAAGTGTTTATTTTAGAAACTTGTCTACATATACCATGACTTATGAAATCATTATGTGTACTAATATTACTTTATTACAATTTCAGCCGGACCAATAATGTTACAGTTGTTGTAAATACTATTGATGGCTTCCAAGGTAGAGAATGTGATGTTATAATTTTTTCCTGTGTCCGAACAAGAGGAGTTGGATTTATGGGTGAATCTCAGCGACTGAATGTGGCTCTTACAAGAGCTCGTCGTTCTCTTATTATATGTGGCAACTTTGTCTCACTACAAGTTAGTACTATTTAAATTATTTTTATAAAATTCTGCTTAGTAGATATTCTCATTAAGTTAGTGAAAATAATAGAAATATATCTAAATTTGTTTCTTCTTAGTATACAAACTTTCAGGGAAATGTGCCCTTAAATTGCATTATTTCTTCTCCTTAGGATTCAGATGTCCATAGGCAAATGTACATTCTTTCAGTCAAAATTTTTCCTTTGAATTAGCTCAGATAAACCTAAGGCAGCAGAAGGATAAAATTCTATTCTTTTGGCTTTCTCTTCGTACAGAAGGTTGAATACCAATGAACCCATCTCAATCAGGTTTTTTGTTCAGTTTCCCTGGTCCTTTGAGCAAATGCTGAGATGGCCCCTTGTTTCGCTCCTGAACAGTAGTGTAACTTCTCTCTCCACCCAAGACGACATTGCGTGCGGCGATGGTTAGCGTTTCGGACTGTTGTACCCAAGTTGGTAGGTTCAAACCTGATCGAAGTCATGGATTTTTAAGGGCGAAAAAATCCTTCATATGCCTTCCTTTGGAGGGGAAGTAAAGCCGGCTGTCCCATGTTGGTAGATTTACTTGCATGTAAAAGATCGTCAAGCCTAAATGACACCTCTGAGCTAAATTCAAATCGCCTGTTTCTCGCCCAAGAAATACCTCCTTTCTCTGCTAGTTGGTGAAAGGAGCATTGCGAAATTTGCGTGGTCAGACGGAAGAGCAGACCTAATGGCCGGAGTCTCGCCACGTAAAATAAGGCATTGAATTGAATTGAATTAATCATATCGAGTCATCATACACGATTGTAATTGTATATGTGATACGAGTGTAATTGTATATAATTGTATTGTATATGATGATGATTATCATTATCATTATTATTATTATTATTATGATTATATTACCATCAATATCATCATTCTTCTATATTCAGGGTATTCCAAGGTATTATGGTGTTCATTGGGTATTATGTATAATTATCATATTGCCTTTTGCTATTTTAATTTAATCTTTTAAAAAGTATTGTAAACAAACACATTTTTTAAAACATTGATTGGCATGTGGTTTCCAGTGGTGACTTATTCAGTGTGGCTGCAGACAATGTAATGCTGATCTGCTTCAAAACTATATAAAACTATGTAGCTTAACACAATCTCAGTTTGCAGATGAAACAAGCAATATAGATGCCGTGTGACCTGTAGATTAGGTTGCCAGTTCATGGGAAATTATCAGTTGATTCTTGGTTATAGTGTTTATTTCCCCCACATTCTTGTTGATGCGTGCTTTAATTTTTATTTTGGCATTGTCATGTACATAGGATTAGATTGACCCAACAATTGAGATTACTGGAGGAGAAGTTTTCTGTTCAAGAATAAATTTAAATCAAAATCTTATGCTGAAGTTGCTTGCACTGTATGTTGGGTTCACTTTGTCAACAATAAAGTCAACAATCCAGAACTCCTAAACTCTCTCACTCAGAACTTTTAAAGTATGTTTGTAGGATGATCTGTGTTTTAATGTTTTCTGGTGTAGCAACACTATCTTCCGTGTGTATTCTTTCCAGGTCACACGAGTGTACCAGAAATTATAGAGGGGTTCTTTCAGAGTTTACTTTTCATCAGATTGATTTCAAACTCACAGTCACAGAAACTGTTCTATTGTAACTCTGGCACCTTTGTTTTTTGCTTTGTCGTGTTACCACATGCTATAGTTTTTCGAATTTGAGATATGCTAAATTTCCTATACCGATACATATTTTTTGTGTTTGTATTATTTGCATGTAATATAATTTTTTATTTGGTATTTGTTGCCAATTAAATTAATTTATCTCGTGTGTATTTGTGTGATGTGGATGTGTAATTTCGTGACCATGCCCAATCCATGAATGCGGTTTTCAGTTCTTTGTCAACGTTAAACCGTTGACCAACAAGGAAATCCTTTAACCATCAAAACATGATAGTCAGTGGGTGCAAGGTCTGGACAGTAAGGTAGATGATCCAGTTTGGATGTTTCCATCCAAAAGATCTGATGAAACGTCTTTGTACATAAACTTGAGGCCTTGCATTGTCATGCAGCAATGTTACACCGGCAGACAATAGGCCTCGCCACGGTGAAGTTTCATCTTTTCCATCCAACCATGCTTCCCTGTAGGAAGGATTATGCTTTGTTACAGTGAATGTTGGTTACTAATCAATAGTCAAATATAAATTGTCAGTCAACATACACATAATGTATTCACTTTTTCACATCTGGATCTTTTTTCAAGCAAACAAATTAGTGAAACAAAAGGTGTTCAAGAGAACAGAAAGTTGAAATTTACTTCTTTATATTGCAGTGAGTCTTTTCTTACTTGCATTCATTAGTACTAATAATGGGATTGTGAAGAATCGTTCATCTATCATGGCTGCAAATAAAAAACAAAGAACCATTTTATACTTTGCTCTACAATAAAATCTAATGACATACCAATAGTATAAAAATCAATTATAGATTATAATGATTATATAGTGTTGTGTCAGAGGGTGTAAGAGCAAAAGCTGGGGTGGCCAAATTGATTTACAAAAGACTGAAATCTAGAATAGCGAATTATATGTTAATGAAAGAATAATGTCAAAAGAATGAAAGAAGATAATGGTCATTTGATGGTAATAGTGGTATAGGCAACTAAAGAAGGAAGGAAGGAACAAAAATATACAACCAGCTACAAAAACCTAGAGAACTAGAGAACTACATAGGTATTAGCTCGCTTAATTCAACATTCAAGGTATTTGCTAAAGACTCCTAAAAATAGCAGACTTGCTAGTGGACAAAGAACAATCTGGTTTTCAAAAAAGGTCAACTACTGACAATGTTGCACCTGCAGTGATAATGTAACGGTTAGTGTATCAGACTGTTACACACCTAAGTTCGCAGGTTCAAACCTTATCGAAGCTGTGGATTTTTAAGGGCGAAAAAATCCTTTGAAAGGGGAAGTAAAGCCGGCTGTCCCATGTTAGTAGATTTATTGCATGTAAAAGATCCTTAAGCCTAAATGAAACTTTTGAGCTAAATTCAATTCGCCTGTTTCATTGCTCAGGAAATACCTCCTTTCTTTGCAAGTTGGTGAAAGGAGTGTAGCAAAATTTGCTTGGTCAGACAGAAAGCAGGCCTAATGGCCTGAGTCTCGCCATGTGAAAAAAAGCAAATTCAGTCAATTAAAAGCATGTATAATAATTCAAAAATAATTACTTAGACATTGTGTAATGAAAGAAGAAATTTTAATTAACAAATGTGTTCGATAAGGATGTTAAATGTCACCGACACTTTTCAATATCTATGTAAATGACATATTTCTGAGAAGGAAACAAAATATAACAGGAATAAAATTGACTAGGAAAAATATTTTACTTCTTCCACTTAATGCAGATGATGCTGTCATAAAACAATATGCCCTGCACCACTTAAATCAGCTATGCAGATCTTACAACCTAACCACCTCAAAAGACAAAACCAAAATATTAGTGTTTTGGAGAAAATATATAATCCATTCAAAAATAATTCTAGACAATTAAGCTTAGAACAAGTTCTAAACTTGAATTATCTGGGATGTGACACAGAAGGACAAAAAGAAATTAGCATGATTTTAATCGATCCGTTTGACCTACATGCTTCTTAAAAACAAGACCTGAGAAGTTACTAGAATAATATTTTATAAAACATTAGCTCTCCCAATATTGCCTTATGGCAGTGAGTGCTGGGTTATAATGCAGAAAATAGAAAGCAAAATTCAAAGATCAGAGATGTGGTTCTTCCAAATAACAAAAGGTTACAACTTAGAAGACCAGATAAGAAATGAAGAAATCAGGCAAGAATTTAATGTGAATAGCATAAATAATATAATGAAAATAAATAGGAAGAAGTGGCTGCAGCACTTTGAAAAATGGAAGAAACAAGACTGCCAAGGTTAGCATATGCTTACTAACCAAGAGGGAAAAGAGATGTGGGAAGACCCAAGAAATGATGGAATAATACAGTGGAGGCGGAACAGATGCAACCTAATCCATAAAGATGAAGAAGTCCTATTATAGACATGGCAATAATACACATACACCCTACAATGCTAAAGATCTTATAATGTGACTATGAGAAGAAACAACAACAACAAATCGAAGACAATGTTTTTTTTCTGTCACTTCATTGGTAAGGGATACTTGGAAGTGTGCTCCTAACTTATTCACAAATGCCTCTCTGTGCAGCTCACAGTGAACAATCTGAAGAACAATCTCTTTGCAAAATTTCTTCAACAATGCTGACAGAAAAGAATGATTTAAATTAAGCGATTTTATATCATTGATTTAAATATTACATAAATCACCAAAAAATGGATTAATAAAAAATATTAATTTTAATTGTAAATTTACAATGATAAAATATGAAAGGTATATAAAAGGAAAAAATATTCCAAGAAAACTAAAAAGAAAATATTAAAAAGAAGGCTAGGAATAAAGGTGACGATTATTTTTTTTAAAAACCAAAGTTTATGCCAACCGAAAGAATGCAATTGAGATTAACCCTTGCCAGAGAAATGGTGTATTATCTGTCAATTTTCGGAAGATGTTAAAGATTACTGTGATTTCTATTAAACCTGAAAAATTATATACTCAAAATGCATATTTATAATCTAATTCAAGTAATATGAAAATTAAATGTTCAATACAAACTACACAAAGGAACACACAGAGGTGGAAGTGGGGTGTGGGGGAGTAAAGGAGTTTAGTTTGCCTATCCGCACTCCTTATACAGTTTCAGCCAACTTGGAAATCATTCTCTGAAAAATTTGCGTTCTTAGCTTATCTGACGTCACTTTAAGAATCCCTTTGTCACCAATTTTCTACTTCAACGCCTTTTGATGGACTCTCTTTCGTTTTAAAAGCTCTTTCACTTCTTTAACACAATGTACTTGAATTAACCATTGTTTATGTAATGCGTGATAAGTGGTGTGAAGTGCGAACTCGAACATCTCTTATTCCTGTTTTGCTGAATGTCAACTTCATTGTTATGGTACAGGCAATAAAAATGTTTTATTGTAGTTCACATACAAAACATCCATAAAATGAAACATGCACATCCCATTCATTCTTGTAGATTAACAGTAATATTTTTACAATGGTCATTTTTTTTTATCATCATAAGTTCATATTTACCTCTCACTTTGATAAAATTAAATATAATACATAAAGTATGTAAA